GAATCTACCAGACTGCTGGTATCAGTCAGGGTGAGAAACTGCTAATTCATAGTTAATCTAACTTGTGTGTTAAACTTCGTGTGCATTTTTGTTTATTTGCTAGGTAATATGCTTTGATGTGTTTGCTATCCTTATAATCACTTAAAATCTATCTTTTGTAGTTAATACACTTGTTTTTGTTTTAATCTAAACCAGTGAGTTGGAGTGAAGTGCATGGAAAATTGTAGCTCAAGGGGCAAAGGCTGTTGCATATTCCGCTCCACATGGGGGGGAGAAGAGAGAGGAAGGAAGGAAAGAAGGAACTCTATCAGTTTATACTGTACAGTTCCTTGTGCAGTTCATGACAGTATAATTTTGGTTTATGCTCCAGAGGTGGTGCATGCCTGGGAAGCTGGGAGTTACCTTGCCTGTAGCCTTTCCATTGTTGGTTCATGCAGTGGCTGGTCAGAGAGCCTGCATGTAACTGCAGCTCGGTGTGTCCCTACCTGTGTGAATGCTGGTGGAAGTGTAAGACTGGGAGCGGGTCTGCAGCTTGTCACAGCAGCACAGTGTGAGAGGGAGCCCAGGCTGGTGAGTCAGAGGGCTCAGTGGTACCTCAGTTCCAGGTGGCACCCCAGAGGGAACCTGTTACACCCATGCATTTTAAAATGAAGATGATAGAATCTTTTTTACTCCAGTGGTTTTCTGAGGAAAATCTTTTCATGATAAGATCAGCTTGATGGAACTTATAAACTATTGAATAAACATACCGTCAGTGCTCTCTTCCTTGTTACTTCAGGGAGTATGACAGTGGTAATGGTAGTCACCTGTGTATTGAGGATCATAGCATGTCTGTTTCCTTAGTTGCAGATTATTCTGAGTTGTCAGTTTCTCATATAATCAACTGCCTCAGTGTTCTTGCAAGGTAGTTGTTTTATGAGACTGTTAAGATATTACATCTGCAACAGTCTTCCAACCAAGCAAATGAGTTTCTTGAAAAGCCTCTCTGCAAAATCTTTTTAGGTAGAATTCTTTGTATATTTACCATAAGTGAGTGCCACGGTCAGATGCTCAGTTGTTCTGTACTTACATTTAAGAGATAAAGATACAGGCTTGGGTTGCCATGCAAGCCCTTTCCCACTGGATCTTTTTCTGTTTTAATAAGTTTTTAAGCATTTCATTATTTGATAACTATAGCAGTGCCTCAGCTAATACAGTATTCCTCAAGGAAGACCGATGTAGTTATACTTTTAATGAGATACTATTTATTTTATGGAAACAAGTTTCTGCAGTACAAAAGTTAATAGTCTCTGGCCAAGATTATGATTGAGCAGGGTAAGAACAAGTAATTTAAAATCTTTTTCCCATCAGAAAAAAGGGTAGTGCTTTCATTTTAATCACCTTTAATACAGAGAAGTCTAGTGCAAAGTTCTGCAATGTTTATTTTCAAATTTATACTTGATCAGTCATCTTATTGGTAATCAATGAACAACAAACTTTCCATTCAATTTTAGGTAATAGTGAGGACCGTGCACGGTCCTGATACTCTGGGCAGGGTCTTCAGTTTTTTCTGACGTGGGGGTGGGGGGGGAGGAGAAGAGTGACTTTAGCAACTCTCTGTATTGGAATATTTACATAGATAATTTTTGAACAAAGGCATTAAAGCCCCTATTCTATACCTGGCAAAATGTAGTTACATGTCATAGAAAATGTTATGTATCATGGGATAACAGTGTCCAAATGGTATGATAATGTACAAGACAGCATATCAAACAAGGCCTTATTGTTAGGGTTATCATCGTGCCTAGACTCCCTAGTTATGGACCAGGATTCCTTTCTGCTAGGTTGCTGTGCAGACAGAAGAAAATACTGAGGACTGAAACACAGTTCACTGTTTGATCAGTATTTGTGTATCAGTTAAGCTTCATAAGATGCTCTGGTATTTTTTCTTTACTCCTAAAATGGAGGAAGAAAGTATACTGTGGGGGAGGGATAGCTCAGTGGTTTGAGCATTGGCCTGCTAAACCCAGGGTTGTGAGTTCAATCCTTGAGGGGGCCATTTCGGGATCTGGGGCAAAAATTGGGGATTGATCCTGCTTTGAGCAGGAGGTTGGACTAGATGACTTTCTGAGATCCATTCCAACCCTGATATTCTATGATTCTATGTGCAATTTAACTTTGTGTAAGAATTAACTCCTTTTTAAATTTGTAGTTGGTATAGAAGGGATACACTTGGTGGGTCAAATGGATTGGAAAAGGATTTGAAGGAAAGCATCTCTTCAAGGAGCTGAGTTGGGGAGTTCTGGGCCTCCTACATCTGGAACAGCAGGGAGCCGACCCCACTCCTTGCACTGTACAGTTTGTTGCTGGGAACTCTCAGGTATTTTAAGTGAATAAAGTTGAAGCCTAATTAAACCACATTCATTGCTTCCTCTCTTTCTTCTGGCATGAACAGACAAATGATTTGCTGTTTGTAGGTTTCAGTTTTCCTCCCATGAGCACTGGAGTAGAATTATAGCTCTGAAGAAAGTCTTGCTAAAATTGATTGAAAACTTGTGTATCTGCTCTGAAAAGTCATTGTATTAATGGCATTTTTGGTTCCATCCTTGCTGTTGCCAGTGATGATTTCTTTATCACATATGTTCAGTTTACCAGTAAAAAGATATTTCTAATTGCCATGTCTTCAAACCCATCTTAGATTCTGAGTCAAACTGAGTTCTTCCATCTCTCCATGTCATTAGTAATAAAGGTGGTTACATATTGGCAGTCCACTGTCTTTAGCTAATGCCTCTGTTGGGACACTGGGGCAACCCTATTTTCTTTCTTATAAACACAGCAGATTTCCTAGTGTGACTCACTAACTCCTTTTTGGCCTGTATGGGGGAGACTTTCAAAGGCACAGATGGGAAAGAGTTAAGCATCCATCTCCTACTGAAAGTCAATGAGAACTGGGAACCCTATTTTCTTGAAAGAGTTTGCATAAGTGCAATTGACTGGAAAGTAATAAAAATGGTTCTGATGCACAAGATGCAATAGAATCCCGTTTGCTCTTAGTTTTGTTAACTGCAGTGTAAACAGGAGTGTAAAACACTAATAAGTTATTCTTGTTGGTATGAAAATGAGTACATGCAAAGAACAGATCTCTTGCTGCACATGTTCTCTGGCTAAATAGGACTTTGTATAAAGAGGACTTCTCTCCCTCTTGACTGCGTAAAGTCAGTCTGTTACCATTCACAAACACTAAATTTGTGTTTAAAATGGTAACAAAAAGGAGACACTAGAAATCACAATGAGAGTGACTTTTGGTGGGATTATATAAGTCCACATAGCTGTAACTTTGTTCACAGTATAAATTTCCTCATGTGAAATTACCAAATTTGAGGTCAGTAATGGGTTTGACCAAAATGTTGGTTTCAAGTGCTTTGTTGTCTTGTTGTGACTCTGAAACGGTGGTCCATAGAGCTGTTTCTTTCACAATAAGAAAGCAAGTCTGCCTTCAAGTTGCATTGCTTTTTCCTAGTCATGTCCCAAGCCAATACCCTTAGGATTTCCAGAGGATTTTTTGACCAGTTAAATGAAAATCCATCAGATACCTCTGTTTACCCTGCGCAACTGCTCTGTTTTGTGCAAGTTCTTCTGGTATAAATTAAAATGTGACCAATTTTACCAAAACTGGATCAACAGCAAGCAAAGGAAAATCCTACCGAGTGACCTAGACAGATTAGCAATTAAAGCTGCAGGAAATGAGGGGAGGTTTGGTAAACATAACTCTGTGTCAGGGGAGAAGAAATAGAGAGAAAAAAAGCACAAAGCAACATAAGCAATTGTGTTAAAGCAAGTATACTTCAGTCTTTTCTTGTACTAATATTATTTCTGTGTAATCAAGCACTGCAATGGAAGTAGGGAAGAAGCATTCAGGATTGTAGGATGGTCTAAAATGAATCTTAAACCACTCATAGTATATGAAAGTTTGAGAACCACTGTGCAGTCTGAGGTCACTGACTGATGCCTGCAAGGGACCAAGTTCATTTACTTCACAGGAGTTCAAGTAGAGAGAGTTTGGCTCACAGTATCATCTGTAATACTTAGGTACAAAGGGTTAAGTTAAAGATGTGGCATCTGGCTTATACTTTGTAGTTCCTTGCTTTTTTTTGCTTAATGACACAGCCTTAATCAGTTTTGATGTTAATATCTCTGGAACTTTCACGAGACATCTGTTTGGCAGCGATACTTTTTAATTTGCTGCATATTCATTGTTCTACCATAATAGTCATTGCTGTGCATGTAGGGTGGGATTTTCAAAAGTGCTTAGCTTTGGCCCTAATGCTGCTCCCGTTGAAGTCAGTGGATGTTTTACCATTGGCTACAGTGGGAATAGCTAGATAAGTGCTAAGCACTTTAAAAAAAAATCTGACGTTTTATGCAGAGTAAACTGTGTGTAATGAATGAGAAACCTGTTCTGATTTTTCTGATATTATCCTTATTGATTATTATCAATATTATCCTTTTTGATACCACTGCTACTATGAATGAATAAATTACCATAATGAGAAACTACTCCACAGTCTGACAAAACAAATTAATTATGTCAGAGGTTTGTATTACAGGGCACACACAAACTGGGGGAAACAGATTGGGAAAAGACCTTTGGGGCCTCATCAGAATGAAAGACATTTTGGAGGGTGACTGTTGAAGTATAGATACTCATTTAGCATTTAAAATTGCTGTCAAAGTACAGAAATTGTTAAATTAATGAAACCGAATTAATAATAGTTACTAATAGAGCGGAAACTTTAGGAGGGATTTTGCTTAATTGTAAAGAATTCAAGTGAAATCAGAAGGTGGTAACTTCTAACAGAGATTGAACAAAAGGAGTGTAAGCAGTGCTTACTCAGCAAATGTTCGTACTGATATATCTGTATATAACTGCAATCTATAAAAGCATGGAGCCAAATCAAGTTTTTAATACCAAATGTACACTTAATATTCAACGCTACTGGTAAACTCATTGTGTTTTTCAGACAGTGGACATTCATAAAGAGAAAGTTGCTAGAAGAGAAATTGGCATTTTGACTACGAACAAAAACACCTCAAGAACCCACAAAATCATTGCACCAGCCAACCTGGAGCGACCAGTTCGCTACATTAGAAAACCTATTGATTACACAATTCTAGATGATATTGGACATGGAGTGAAGGTAGGTGATGTTATAAAACACTCTTAAATTATTGTATGTTTTCAAAACGTAAGGACCTGGAATAGTGACTTATTCCTGTCTTCCACATTGCAGCATGGGTTTTCTCAATTGTCTAATCCAGATGGATTTAAGAGGAATCCCCAGGTCCTGTTTAACTTTGCAGACCATTTTACCCGTGATTCTGGGTATGTGTATGACCATGGAACTCCTCTGGGGCACGGCTAAACCTGCTTACTTGGATAGAGACTAATGCCTTGTTTGAATCTGTTGTCATGAGGTACCTGAGTAATGAAAGGCTATTAACCCTCTGTCCGGTTATTGCCACAAAATGCATATGTTGACTCAGATGTAATACCAGTAGTGCTACCATGTGGCTCATTAGCAGGATGTATTTGTGTAAAAGGCAGCATTGAATGTGCTTTAGTTTTAGTGGTTGTTGAAGAGAATTGCAACGTGGCTGATGTCCAATAATGGGTTTTCTGAACCTAAAGACTGCCACCAAAATCTGGGCCAGCCAGTTATGCCTTTTCAGGAATTTTTTTAAACACAGATTTGGGATGAATAGTACAATTTTTAGGGCCTGAGTTTGCATGTAGTTACTAGAATTGCACAAGCTAATTAGGCACTAACTGCAAATTTGACTAGACCCATAACTGCTTGCTTTTTTGCAGATACCTGGTTGGTATACACAGTAATGCCATATGCAAATTAGACATACATATTTAAAAATCACATCTAATGTAAATAAAATCTTAGCAGATGTGACCTTATTTTTATGCTATTAAGAAACCATTTGAATATAAAAGGATTGTCAACATTACTTTCTGAAAGAAGAAATGTAAATAACATGAAGCAGTATCATTTACAAAACACATACATTAACAAATCCACAAAACTTTCAAAGTAGTGGTGCAATAACATGCTTTAAATCAATTGATTGCAAAATTTCTTGTGCTTGACATGAATTTCATTATTTCACACTGTCTGAATTACATTTTATAAAGTTACATGATTAATGCAAGTAGACAAATCATCTTTGAATTTAAAATTGAAATTCAAAGCATTCTTTTTTAAAGATCTTTTCAATAAAGCAATATTTTATTCAAGAGCTTTTGAACATTGTTTTTATAACAAATACATATCTTATTTTTCATTGGAAATGTTTGCTACTCAATTTGTGTACATAATCTGGTAAAAAAAGAAGTGATGTTTTTCAGCACATTTTTGCAGAAATATTTCATATCTGGAAAGCTCTTTAAGAAATCAGCTGCCTCGTATTAAAATCTGCTGTCTGTTTCTATAAAAGAATTAGTGCATATTAGCAGAATTCCTTATGGTGAATCAATGAATATATTAACATGTAGCGCATAAAAGTGAATTATCATAGCTATCGTTTATGATAACTTTGAGTTAGTGATATTCTTTCAGGACAGATTAACGAAAAATTATTTCTCTGCTACAGCACAATTTAATTTAGACTCAGTTGTACACCCATTGTAATCAGAAATCCTGTTAACTTCAGTGCAACAAGATCAAGCCCAAAGTGATATGATAAACTATGTTCTTGCAAAAGACTCTGACATCAAACCTGCTCAAATGAATGGATCAGTGTATCACATGTTAAGACCCTGTGACCAGGTCCTGTGACAGTTGTTTAAAAGCAAAGTTTGCTCCAAAGAACCTCTAAATTGTGCTGCATTTTTATTTAGGAAATGAAAGTCTGTAAACATTGTATAGTTTGTCAAATGATCATCAGTGTGCACTGCTACTTGAAATAATAATTTTTCTTTTGTCTGTAAGGTCCACAGATCTGTTAGATAATGGACTCTCATCCTTTATGCAACTCTATAGACAGAACTAGTCACCTCACACGGAAGAGTTCACTTTTTTTTTTGATTTGTTTGTTCTGCCTCCAGAACAGTCTGATCAAGTGCTTTACAGTTTCAAGTTCAAAATGTCTAGTGGCTGCACAATCCAGCATACAGACAGAATGAAGATATCTTTATACTGGGATTTTAAGTGATTTCTCATAGATACATCTTTAGTTCATCTTCCTAAGATTTATTGAGCACTGCCATGGGACCTAAAGGTGATCCTTAACATGGTGACTCTTAATCTTATTGAGCCCAACAGGAAGGTATCCATATATTTCTGCTCCATCAAAGTGGCCATCCTGGTAGCCATTACCCCCCCAGAAGGTGGTAGAGCTTAGGGCCTTATCTATTGAGGGATAATACATGTTCCACAATGATACGGACATAGCCTTTATCCCGAAAATTAACTCAGTTTTTGACAAACAGTGGCGAGTATGATTTTTTTTGGGCTCTGTGGAAAAATTATCTCCCAGGAAACAAGTTGTGGCATATATTGGATGTTGGTAGAGCCTTTGAGATCTACCTCTGTCACACATAGTGCTCCATTGATTCTCTACCATCTGATATCTAAAGAAAAGAGAGAGTATCCAAAGCTACTGTTTCAGAATGGTTGAGATGGTGCATCCATGAAGTCTAAAAGTCAGTGTCTCTTTCCAGCAACTGAGGTCAAAATCCACTCACTGAGAGTGGCAGCAGCCGACCCGGCTAAGTAACTCTACATGTGCTGTGAGATCTGCAGGATAGCCACTGGGTTATCCATTCATCCCTTTTCAAAAATTTATAAGCTGGACATTCAGGCATCAGTGGATGGTACCTTCAGTTAAAGAATGTTTCATGCTGTAGTAGAGAAGGAATTTAAAATCCTATATGTAGTTAGTTCTATTTGAAACCTCCCTGAAGCCACACCATGAAAATCCCATTGGTTAATGAAACAGTGGACCTTGTAGATGAAAGAGAAGAGGGAAATTTTATTCTGATTTGCTAAAAATTTTCTTCCTCAGAGTTAAAACATCCTCAGATCTGACCCTCCCTTCTTTAGAGTATTTCTCTCCCCAATAGGATAAAAAATCCTGTTCAGTTCATTTCAGTTAACTCACAGTTATGCTCTGCAGTAAGAACTCACAGTATATTACTGTAGTGCATATAATCTCATTAAGTTTCAGACCACAGGGGATATTACCCTTTGCCATGGAAACTGTCTCAACTGGTGAGCTCTTCAGAGTAGCTTGCCATGCTCTCCCGTGGCAGTGACTGACAAGTCTGGCTCTGGTTATGTAGCTTCATGAAGCTGAGAGCCTATTGGTTATTAGATCTGTGGACCTTGTAATTTAGAGGAAATTTTCAGTAAATCAGAAAAATGTATTATACCCATATAATATAGTGGGGTTTATTTGGGAACTAAACAACGGATGACCCAAAATACGGTATGTCTAGATGATTAACAGTTGGGATTCTGAGCTGCTCAGTGTTCCCAGTATTACATAGGGTATAAGAAAATGCAGCATTCTTAAAAATTACTTAGAACTAAAAAAACCAAATAGATAGTCAAACCAATGGACTGGTATTTCTGAACACATTTTGGGCTTGTGAAACTATCCGGCATTGTGGCAGCAGGACATAAATACAACTTAACTTTAAAAGTTAGTGCCTAAACTCCCAATTTTACTTGGCCTTTGGAGTGCAAAAAAATTGAGATTCGGTGTTCTCCTTGCTAGGAAATCTTTCATCACTTCCGGTCGAGTGCTAGCTGACATGACAGGGTTGGCTGACAGGGCACTTTTAGATTAAGTTAATACTCCAGAATTAATGTACTGCTGCTTCAGCAAATTGGAATGATAGTAATACATGTAAAACAACGTTTACTCGCATCCAAATTCTCACAATCAATGAGGATGCTTTTTGCCATCTAGTATAAATTCACTTCTAAAGTTTATCCACTTAGAATCCAACCCTCACTGTGGGGAAAATGTTGACCCTTCGAATGTTAGCAGTGGGATAACTTGAGTGACTGCACTGTCTCATGAGTAGTCCTCCAAACATTTGGATGTTTAGTTACCTAGTTAAATTTAAGACATATCTGAAGGCTGTTCGATTAATCAGTGTGTCTATTAAAAGTTTCATCTTGAAAATCTTTTGTTCATGGCACATTCTGCTTTAACCACTCTTTCTATGATCTATTGATACATTATTTTGTTGATGCTGAATGCTTAACTTTTTCTTTCTTATTTCCTTTCTCTTCATATCCTGAAGTTCCAACTAACCTTTCAATGCTTTTTTCCCTTACCTCTTTTATTTGCTCCATGTATGCATTAAGTGGTTGCTTAGATTTAAGGTAAGAAACCCCAGGGCTGGATTTCCATTCTTATTCTTTAGAGACTATTACACATAGGGAGAGATTTGAAATTAGCATGTCACTAATAATAATTTTTTAAAAGAATAAGCCATTCCTTCTCCCTCTGTATGTACTCTACCTTCAGTCTCAGTATAGATTGACATTTTGCAATATAAATGGATGGGTTTAATGTAGCTAATATTTGCAGTTAATTATAAAAGCTTACAGTGAAATGTTGACTCATTTTAGGATAGCTAGTTTTCACCTGACAAGGGAGAAATAGTATATTTACACTGAGTAGGAATAAATGGCATATAAATGAGTAGTTAGCCGAATTTAAACCTCCCCATGTGTAATACTCTTTTTATCCTATATACGGTGTGATTTATGATTCACTTTGTGACCAATATTTCAGTGTAAACTTACTCAGATAAAGGGACACCAAGGTTGTGTTGAAAAATCAAAAATTTTTTATATGAAGTTCTGCATTTTTTTTAAAGTTGCAGTATCACACATTAGTTACTTTCAATAAATGTCAGAGTTACTCTTTATATAAAATACTGTATGTATAGTGGCAAATATTACAGATATTTTCTCAGACTTGGGAATATCACTATGCAAAATGTTAACCCTCTCTTAAAAATATCAGATTGCTTTTAGTATGCCACTAATCTAGCAGTATTATGTTTAACTCATCAATGTACTTAAGCCACAATCCTGCAAAGTATCACATGTGAGTACTCCCAGGTGAGCCTAAGGCCAGCTCCGCACTAGAAACTTACCTTGGTATAACTGTCACTCAGGGGTGTGAAAAATCCACACCGCCGAGTGATGCAGTTATGCCAACTTAACCTCCGGTGTAGACAGCACTATGTTAACATAGCTACTGCCTCTCGCAGAGGTGGTTTAATTACACCAACAGAAGCTCTCCCTTAGGCATAGTACAGTAGCTCTATCAAAAGAAGAAATTAGATTGGTGGTTTGCATGATTTATTCTTGACAAATCTATGTAGGCTATTACTTATTACCTTATCTTCTAGATGCTCATAAATTGATTGCTTAATTTGTTGTAGTATCTTTCCAGGTATCAAAATTAGACTGACAGTACAGCATTTGTAATGCAGTAGTTATGCATATTTAATACTGAATTTCACAGAGAGCAATTCTGTAAAAATCCTATTCTTGGTATGGTAACTTTGAATGATTTGGAAAAGTAGCTGGCATATTCTTAAAGTTTTCATTACTTTCTCCAAGCACAAGTTATGCAGAAGTAATGATCTAAAAGTATCCTATGTTCACTTCATTATAGAGTAGAGCTGGCAGGTTCTCTTCCCCTTTGCAGTGATGGTAAGAGCCTCTTTTCTGCCTTTCAGAGTAAGAAATTCTTCTATATATAGAACTTGAATGATGCTAGCATATTTTTCTTTATAATGTAGGTCAAATTAGAATTTTAAAGTTACTTGTCAAAGAACATCCTTGATCTCAAGCTTGATTAGGCCAGTCAGACAATGTGTGTCAGACAATCTTTTGTTGCCAGATTTGTGGGGTTTTCTTTATTATAATAATAATAATAAAAAGGTGTGTTGTATGTTGCTCTTTGAGGTTTAAACAGTTCATTTGATCTGACTTGCACTTAAAAATTCTAGGTGCACAGACTGGCACATATGACTTGAAGCTGCAAGTGAAAAATGGCCTCCATAGTCATATAAATACAATTGAATTACAGTTGTCCCATTTTGGAGGAGATCACATATATAATACTTACCTTAGCATTTATTGTTTTTTTTTTTTCACATTTTAAGTGCAGGCTTTGCTACACAAGAAAGTTGCACAGGTTAACTAAATGGGTTGCTAAACTGATTTAGGTATAACAATGCAAACCTCTGTTTAGACATTTGTGTATGTTTGAGTGGCTTATTTTTGGTTTAATTTAAACAGAATTGTAATCTGCTTTAGCTAAAACAAGAAAAGGCTGGCTAAACTGAACTAAGTGTTCACACAGCTTCTTGCACCAGTCTAACTGAATCAATTAAAAATCACACATTGCAGCTGTAACTTTTTAGTATAGACAGTTCTCCCATCACTCCATGTTAGTTGGACGTGATACAGAGAGGTTTGCTCACCTGCCACTGACTCAACATACAAGCCTGGGCAAGTGAGTAAATCTAAGCCAGGGTTAGAACTCAGAAGTTTCTGGCTCACGGTCACAAGCTCAGTCAGCTGAGTATACATATAATAGGTAAGAACTGAGGTGGGTTGGGAAGGTAATTTTCTCTCAGCCTGAGGTTGGTTTTGCTGGTATTAGGTGACAGATTGCTCCAACATCTTAGATATTTGAAATACCTGAAGATAATTCCTAGAGTATTGTTGAATGGGGCATTAATTTTATTCTCAGAAGGGCTGTAAGTATAAGTGGTATACATCAGGAATGGGCAAACTACGGCCTGGGGGGCCGCATCAGGCCCTTCATACATTTTAAACTGGTTCTTGAGCTCCCGCCAGGGAGTGTGGTCTGGGACTTGCCCTGCTCTGTCGCTCCAGCCGGGGAGCAGAGTTGGGGGCTTACCCTGCTCTGTGCATGCTGTGGCTCCGTGCAGCTCCCAGAAGCAGCAGCATGTCCCCCCTCCAGCTCCTACACATAGGACAGACAGGGGGCTCTGCATGCTGCCCCCTGCACCAAGTGCCACCCCCGCAGCTCCCATTGGCCGGGAACTGCTGCCAGTGGGAGCTGCAGGGGCGACACCTGTGGACAGGGAGCATGCAGAGCTGCCTGGCCACGTCGCCGCGTAGGAGCTGGAGGGGGGAGATGCCAGTGCTTCTGGAAGCTGCTTGAGTTAAGTGCCGCCAGGAGACTGCACCCCTGACTCCCTTCCATGCCCCAACCCCCTGCCCCAGCCTAGATCTACCCTCCTGCCCTCCGAACCCCTCAGTCCCAGCATGGAGTACCCTCCTGCACTCCCAACCCCTCATCCCCAGCCCCACCCCAGAGCCCACACCCTCAGCTGGAGCCTGCACCCTTGCCCCAGCCTTCACCCCAACCCCCTCCCACACCCTGAACTCCTCATTTCTGGCCCCACTCCACAGCCTGCACCCTCAGCCAAAGCCCGCACCCCAACCCTCAATTTCATGAGCATTCGTGACCCACCATTTCATTTCCATACCCAGATATGACCCTCGGGCCAAAAAGTTTGCCCACCCCTAATCTACATTATGGGAGAAGGATAGTTCGTGCTTGAATGTCCTAGAAAATCTGAAGTCTGATTGACCAATGAAGGAATTCCCATAAAAATGTGTGAAAACATCTCTTTAGGGATTTTTATTCTATATATTTTTCTATACTGCACTTACCATGTAGAATCTGAGTGCCTTCCAGGAATGCATTAAGCAGTGTGATTACGTATCTGTCACCTGTTTGTTCTCTCTTCCTCTCCCCAGAGGGTGAAGTATGTGCAGTGGGTTAAGTCTGACTTCTTCTCTGGAGAGTGCTTCCTCTTGAGACCTGATCCTGAAGAGTATTTTGTATTTAAAGAAATGTTCTCTATTGACATGTTCACTGCTATTTGCAGCTAAAGGGTCACAGTGTTTAAAGTAGATCCTGTTGTTAATTCTTCAGATCTATAGACAGTAGTTGCCAACATGCCATGTGAATATACACACCTGTGCAAATCTAGGAGCTCGTAGCATGTCTGGTGATTAGATGTTAGTACGACTATAAAATACATATCTATGTGTCTATAAAATATTTGTTCATGGGACTACTTTTTTTACCCATGAAATCATTCCTGAAGGTTGAATAGTTCAGTCAGAGCAATTGTGCAGTTCATTCAAGGCTGCTGTCATGTAAAAAAAAAAAAAAAAAAAAAAAAAAAATTAAAATTTTTTTTACTCGAATTGTTGTAGTTTCATATCAGCTATAAGTCAATTGCTTCATAATAGATTTACACTGCCATACAGTGGGAGACTGAAGGACTCAATCTATTTTACTTATCAAAGAGAAGATTGAGATGACTTGATGATGGTCTCTAAGACTACAGGGAGAAGATTTCTGATAGCACAGAGCTCTTTTAATCTAACAAAGACCTAACCAGATCTAGTGGCAGGAAGCTGAGGTAAAGCAACTGGAAATAAGGAATAACTGAAAAAACAGATTAAGAGTGAGGGTAATTAGCCATTAGAACAATTTACCAATGGATGTGATGGATTCTTTCACTTGAAAAGTCTTAAAATTGGATGATTTGTAAAAGATCCGGAGTTGTTGAGCTTATCTAGGCTCTTTCCTGCTGAAAAAGCTGATGGCGTAAGAGGGTGGCATGGTTAAAAATTGAAAAAAAGCTGATTTTGGGGAGGATTGGGAGTTCAAAAATAATGGCTGGTAGGTTTGGCGATTGTTTCCAGGGTGACCTGCAAAGGAAAAAATGAGTGTTCACCTATTTTCTCTTTTTTGTGATTCATAAAGAAGGTGGCCTAAACTTATTAAAGGAGGAGTTTTCTGTCCATCCTTTTTTATTTTGCATTAGAAAAACAGGGGAAAAGCCTTTGAAAACATACCTTTTGAGCTGCCTTTATACCTATAAAGAAACAAATATGTGCAAGTAATTTTATTTCCTTTGCAGTTCACTTTTAAGTATTTGCGAAGCAGTTTTGTGTTCTTCAGCCACCTTGTCTTCCACCAGTTTGGGTGCCTCTATTGATAAGTGTTGCATAATCTCCAAACTTGTTCTGACTGTGAATTAAATCCATGCTGCCCTTGAATCAGAGTTATCTTGTCAGTATCTCCTATCATTTTTTCTTCATCACAAGTAGATCCAGGAATCAAACACCTTAGAAGTATTTATGGTTCTTGTAGTTCATGGGGCACTAGAAGACAATGCAGCATGCTACTTTTCAAAATCTTTTCAACTGCCTAATATAGAAAGAATTAAGTTGCTTCCTTTTTTGCAATGAGAGTGGGGAGTTACAGCCTAATAAATCACTGAACAGTCTGACAATACTTACATCCA